TCGGGGGGATTCTTTCTCTTTGCTGGGGCCGGCGGGCTTAGACGTACGGGCAAACCGGAACGGGCGGACAATCCTTCGGGGCGTACATCTCTCTGCCCGCCATTGGAATTGGCGCGGGCCCTGCAAGAGGAGGAGGGGAAGAACGAGGGAGAGTGGGAGGAAGGGGAGGGGGAAGGACGAAGGAAGAGGGAAGATACCACGTTGTGAAGGCGTCTTTGGCGCGTGCGTGGTTCCTGAGCGCCGAAACGCAATTCCAGAATAATTTGTGAGGACGTCGCACGCGAGAGCGCAGTCCTGAGTACATTGTGAGGAAATCTCAGGCGGAAGCGGGGGCCCTGACTAAGTTGCGAGGAAGTCTCAAGCGGGAACGCCGTTCCTGAGCAAATTGCACGGAAGTCTCAGGCGGGAGCGGGGGTCCTCACTAAATTGCGAGGAAGTCTCAGGCGGGAGCGCCGTTCATGAGTCAATTGCGCGGAAATGTCAGGCAGGAGCGGGGGTCCTGAGTAAAATTCGAAGAAGTCTCAGGCGGGAGCGCCGTTCCCACGTAAATTGCACGGAAGTCTCAGGCGGGAGCGGGGGTCTTGATTACATTGCGAGGACGTCTCAGACGGGAGCGCCTTTCCTGAGTAAATTGCGCGGAAGTCTCAGGCGGGAGCGGGGGTCCTGAGTAAAAATCGAGGAAGTCTCAGGCGGGAGCCGTTGTTGTTGTAGCCCGGGGGGCAGGGGCACAGTTTGAGCAGGAAGACTTTCCTTGAGAAAAACAAGGTGCGAGCCCCGGGGGTGGCACTTCAATCGAAAAAATCAATGTGCACCGGTGGGGGGGATCAACAATAATTATTCTTCAAGAATGAGAGTTCAACAACAACAACAACAACAACAACAACAACAACAACAACAACAACAACAATCACTTTACCCGAACGCTCAGTGTTCTCACCAGTGCCAGGGTTTTCATGCGACGCCAGCCAATACCCCCACTTTGTGGGGGGGCAGTGCAAGCTCTACCAAATATCCACACGACTCTTCGCCACCACCAACACCCAGCTTCCCGCCCTATGACGTTCGGACACTTCACTTCGTGGCCTGCGGACGACCGTGGCTACTACACTGGCGTGCCGAGGGCGCAACCAATGGCGCAACCGCAAGGGATTATGGCCCCTGGCAGGCGCGCGAACCCCGTTGCAAGAGCGTGCGAAAGTAGCTCGCGCGAGCTCATGTAACATAAATGTTGGGAAACCATTGTTTTTTTTAGGATTCGGACAGCGCGCGCGGGTGGAAATTTTGAAAAGTCGTGCAGCTGTTTTTCGAGGACCTACGGTGCGATTCGTGTGATTTTATGATGCGCGGTGCTAAAATTCTTAAGAAGCCCAAAGGTTTTTGGAGATTTCGGCGTGCGCGCGCGAAGAAAAAACGAATGTGTCCCGCATGGTATTATTTGACAGGGATGATGGCCCTGGCAGGTGCGCAACCGTTGTTGGAGAAGTTCGAAGCACATGAAAAAGTGGCTCGCAAAAGCCCGTTTGACAGAAATGTTTAAAAAGTGTTGGTTTTCCCACGAATCCGCAAGAGCGCGCGGGATGAGATTTTGACATTTTTTTGTTGAGAAACCATTGGTTTTTTTGATGTTTTTATGTTAAAATCGTTCCGAACACTAAGCTTTTTGAAGGATTTCGTCTTGCGCGCGCGAATGTCCACTTTACCTTATTTTTTGCAAGGGATTCTTGAAATTTGATTATATTAGAACAAGAAATGTCATTTTATAGTGTTTTTTGCAAGGGGAAACGGATTACAACAAAACAACCGGATCTTGATCACCTCGAATTACCTGAGGCTTCCTCACGAAAATGATGAAAACGTGGCTGCGGCCTAGGCGCGGCGGGGGGGGCGCGCACCAGGGGGCCCAACAATAATTATTCTTTAGAATTAATAATGTTCAACAACAACAACAACAACAATGCAGTCATACACCCGCGGGTGCGTAGGACACTGAATTCCCGTGCAGGTGGGCACTTCAAATGCGTCCGAGTTTGAGGCCAGATGGAAGCTCCACGTGAGCAGACTTCAAACACTGATTGGCAAAAGAACGCTCCAGGGACGATCTTTTGAGTACTCTTCTGGACCAGCTTTGAACAGTTTCCCATCTTCCTCCTTCTCCTGGACCGCTTCTGGAACTTGTTTCTGGACCGTTTCTGGCCAGATATTCTTCCATATGTTTCACCGTTCCTCCAAAAGCGGCCTGTAGGAGCACACGCCCGACCCAACCGCAGGGGCCAGGGCCGCGGGCGGCGGCGGCGGCGGCGGAGGGCCCGCGCCGACCCTGTCGGCCCGCGGGCCTCCCGCGGCGGCGGCTGCCGCGGCGGCGGCGGCGGGCGCAGCTCCGCCTGGCAGGGGCGCCGTCGAAGACGACGACGACGACGACGACGACGACGACGACGACGACGACGACCAACACCGACCACGACGACGACGACGACGACGACGACGACGACGACGACGACGACGGCGGCAACGACGACGATAACGACGAAGACGACGGCGACGACGACGACGACGACGACGATCCTCTGAAGTTTTTCGGTGCTTCAGGGCGCTCCTGGGCCCCGCATCCTCGGAGCCCCGTGCGCTGTGGGAGGAGGGCGGCGAGGATCATGGATCGCAGGCTCGAGGCTCGCTAGAAATTCGCGCCGTGCCGACTTCGGTGTTGGTTCCTGACAGAGCGGGGATCATTCAGACTTCAGATCGGCCGTTTCAGAAACGCCATATCTTTCATCTTTCAGTGATGGGCCGATTCTGAGCCACGGGCGGCGTTCAACCTCAAACACCCGCGCTGTGGTTGCCGCCAGTGGACTCGACACGAACCTACCGTAGATGGTTCGGACTACAGAATTGACTTACCCAAAAAATTATCTTCCGTCGAATCTCCCCCCCCCCAAAAAAAATAGAATGCTCCGTAGATTTAGAGAGCATGTGTACGTATGTGTCGTAGATTCGACGGGAAAAATTTCCCCTTTTCGTGTGTACGTATGTTGCGTAAATCAATTCTGTAGTGGATCCCCTTTTCGACGCACGGCGGTCCATCTTGGCAGGCAACTCACGGAGGCTTTTGGTCGTCCCCCCGGCACCCAACAGTGCGCCCGAACGCGCGCCAAAAGCGAACATGATACAGCTCCCTGGCAGGGCGCTGTTGTGCGCTAGTGGTCGCTGTTGGGCGCTGTTCGAGCGCTATTCGGAGCTAGTGGGCGCGTTTGGTGCTACTCGGCGCAATTGAGCACTATTGGACACTATTCGCCGATATATAATGGATCCAAGACGAGCAGAAACCTACGAGATTTGCGATCCAGACATGGCGACCCATCCCCTTGGGTCGACTCGCGGACACGAGAGCCTCGAAGACCGCCCGTGCGGCGAAGTCGACGTGCACGTCCTTCGGCATCACCTTGGCTTCGCCACCCTGGTGCGTGGCGAAGTCCATCTGTGTAAGCCACCTGGCGACATGGACCGGTAGCCTGCACCCGGAGGGCGTGCTCGTGAGTCCCGCGAGCCACACCCACTCTGTCAGGGGACACAACACCTGGCGAACTACAGGTGGGGCAGCTTAGTCCGTTCCCGCCCTAAGAGTGTGCTGACTTCCCTCGGCTTGCGCGGATGGGCAGAACGCCGAGACCCAGTGGCGGTGTCTGGGTGCAGGGTTGCATCCAGCGCTACATAGTGGTCATGGGCCCCAGCTCGCAGCAACGAGTTCGAGTACCGCCTCCAGCCTGTGCCAAAGCTTACCACCTTTTGTGGAAGACGTCAGGCCAGCTGGCACATGAGCCGCACATGGAACCCTGACTGGACACATGTGGGTGTCAGCTCTCGTCGCTGCCACCCTCACCACCGCAACCACGAGTCACTCCCATCCTCACCACCGCATCCACGAAGGGAACCATCGCTTGGCACGTTCGCCGTTCGCCCTGATCGTGTCCGGACCAGCTCCTCCTCCTCCTCCTCCTCCTCCTCCTCCTCCTCCTCCTCCTCCTGTGCGGAGCCTGCTGCTCGGGCCGTCGGCGGAGCGTCGGTGGGTGGGCTACAACAAAAAATGTCCACGCGTGTCTCGCCAAGGCCTCGAGTTATCAAAGCACGTCGGGCCAAAATGTACAGTGGAGGCCAGTCCACAAGAAACCTTCTACCAGAAGCCCAGCCCTGAGACCCCAGGACGTCCATGGATTTTTGGTGCGGGAACCTCGCACTGTCCATGGCAGAACCATCGAAACGAAAGAAACCCAGGGCACCCTGGAGGCGAGCAGGGTGTTTCTTGGCATGGGCCCCACTGTAAACCCCCTTTCCCCCAAATGCACAGTTGACGGGCTTGGGCGGCAGGCCGCCAGAGGCCAGGGGCAAAATGTGGACACTTCAGCTTCGGGTCTCTGGGGGGAGGGGTTGCGAAGCAAGGGCACTTCGCAGCCGTGGTTGTTATCAGATTGCGGCGCCTCACCGCCATGGGTGTGGACACTTTTTGTCCGGGCACCAATCCTGTGGGGCCACGAGACGCGTGAGAGTGTACGGCATCGGGGTGCGGGTGCGCCATGCGGACCCATGCCGCTGGGGCCCTTGCTGGATCTCCCTCGGCGGCGAGCGAGGGGGGCAAGTGAGAAGGGGCAGGCCTTCTCAGAACTCGGAAGACCCAGCGGCCTTCTAAGAAGCTTACTGGCCCTTCCCCAGAGACAGGAAAAGCCTCTCCGGAGGCGCGCTGGCTTCTCAGGAGTCCCGCCGCCTTCCGAGAAGGCCCTCTCCTTCTCGCTGTCCCCCCCCTCGCTCGCGCGCGCCGACTCCCTGCGCGGCCACGAAAAACGCGCGGAGGGCCAAGAGGCAGGGCTGGGAGGAGGGCGGCGGGGGGGGAGGGGGGGCCGGCGGGCGGCGGAGCGGAGCGCGGCGCGGCCCCCTCCGAAAACGAGGGCCCCGCGCCACAGAACTCCTGGAGGCCAGGCGTCGGGAGATCCGGGCCCGCCCTCCCCCGCGGCACCTGCGCCCTCGCCGCCGCGGCAATGGCCAGGCGGCCGGCGCGCCGCCGCGACTCCTGCAGGGCGGCGAGGCCCGAGCCCCAGCAGCCACCCGCCGTCGATTCTCTCCCGAGCCGGCGGGAGGCGGGGGCGGGGCTCGGCCGCGCGCCACGCGTCCGACGAGCTCCGAACCCCTGCCCCGCCGCCCCTCGGGCTGCCTGGATCTCTGATCGGCGAGGGCAGGGTGCGGATTTCGCCGCCGATCCTGGTTGGGGGCCACGCCGACGCCCTGAAGACCGCCGAAGGGGCCCCCGACTGCCGTGACGACCGTGAAGCGCCGGTCCCAGAACTGGATGCCGCTCGTGGAAGAGCAGAAAGCGGAACGGGCACAGACTGCCCAGAGATGTGAACGATTTCTTATCCAGCGTTTGGACATTCGGCGGAAGGGGGATGGGAGGAGAGGAGGAGGGGTGTCTGGCTCTGGACCTCTGCTTAGCGCGACTGTTTGCAACAGTGCGTCCTATAGGGGAGACCCCACTGGCTGGAAACAAGAACCAAAAACAGCTAGAACCTACTCCATGGGGGGGGAAGGGGGGTGCGAAGGCCCGCGCGGATCAGCAAAACAAGGACTACGAAAACGATCATCATGCTCACGTCGTGATAAAATCCGGACGGGAGGTGTTGGCTGCTTTCGATCCCCGGGGGCCCATTCACGGGCCGCGGGAACGTCAAAAAAACGGCTCGGGGTGAAAAAGAAGTCTTAGGGAAAATGGGGACCCCGCACTGAGCGTCGTCGTTCAGCCGATCCTTTATCCCCAGTGGCGTGGCCTGGGCTTCAGTGGCCGCCTTACCCCCCTAGATAGAAATGCTGCATGTTCCCTTCGGGTTTCGAAGGGCCTATCCCCAACTGGGGTGGTGGGATGGCGGGGCTGAGATGCTACGGCAGGGTGGGGATACGTATGTTAAACAAGAGTTATGTTGCTTCCATCGCACTAAAGGAACACATCCCAGAAATGATTTCGAACACCCAGAAAAGTATCGAAACAGTGTCGAACGAGTATGGCCTCCCGGGGCCCGACACTTGAAAGCCCTCCACAGGTTCGGTACATCCCTCCTGCCCGAAATTGCGTATTTGGGGTGATCGAGGCTCAAGCAGGTTGGAACATCAGAAAACAAGAGTGACTGACGTACTGAAAAAGTCTGGACCTCGCACGTCTGGGCGTCGGAGGTCCGCGCGGGCGCCTCGGGCCGACGCTGGGCTCGGCCGCGCGCCACGGGCGGCGCTGGGCCGCAGCGAGTTTGGGGTGCGCGGCTGGTCGCTCCCATGGGGAACGCCTGCAGCGGCCTGCGTGCTTGGGTTTGGGCCCGCCCCCCCCCCCTCCTCCTCCTCCTCCTACTCTCCTCGTCCTCTTTCCCTCCTCATCCTCCGCCATCCTCCTCCTTCCTCCTCCTCCTCATCCTCATCCCCTCCTCTCCTCCTCTCCTCCCTATCCTCTCCTCCTGCCTCCCAAACCCTCCCTCCTCCTCCTTTCCATCCTCCGCCTCCTCATCCTCCTCCTCCCTCCTCCTCCTCTCCTGCTCCCCACCCTCGTCCCACCTCCCCCTACTCCCCCTCCTCCTCCTTCCTCCTCCTCCTCCCTCTTACTCCTCCTCCTCCCCATCTCCTCCTTCCTCTCCTCCTCATCCCTCCCCCTCCTCCTCATCCTCCCTCCTCCTCCTCCTCCTCCTCCCCTCCCCCTCCACCCTCCTCTCGTTCCTCCTCGCCTATCCTCCCCCTCCTCCTCCTCCTACTCCCCCTCCTCCTCCTCCACCTTCGCCTCCTCCTCCTTTCTCCTCCTCTTCCTCCTCCTCCTCCTCCTCCTCTTCCTCCTCCTGCTCGTCCTCCGTTTTATATCCTTCCATCCGTATATGTGTTGGCAGTAACGCCACGGCCTCTGAAACCGTGCACCTACTCCAGCTCAGAGACAACACTGGAGCACCGACATGATGTTGATATGTGATGTTGCCACTGGTATGAATTCATCAATATCGACGAGCGCACAATTTGTTATCCGGAAATTGACCTTCTTCATGGAGCTTGCGCCACCAGACTCTGTGGGAGGGCCGCACTTACGGCCTCAGTGCCCGCTATGTGCTGTTTGGCGGACCGAGCTGATGCCCTTTTGGCAGAAGGTGGAGGTCCGCTGTCTTGAGCAACTCCTGCTGTCGAGGCCCGACAAGCCTGCCCACCTTGCAACTCCCGAGTGGGAACGCGTTGGTTATGTTTGTTGCGTTGCCGTGTGTCTCCAAAACTCAAAGTCCAATCCAACATGTGGATCCCAATGCTCGGGTCGAAGTCGACTTGACCAGGGAATTGTGGAGAGCCTCAGCCACCGTGTCATTGCGTCTCCATGCGCAGACGAGTCCCACCTGTTCCTTTGCATGCGTGGCGAGTTCTATAGCAGGTGCCCCCAGAAGGCACCACCAGGAAGAATGGAAGGAGGAGCCCCCAGACTGGCAAGATCAGGAAGCTCATCGACACGCCAGTCGATGACGGCACCACCGCGCGCGAGGGGAAGGGGCACTTTGACTTCAGGATGACGCAGGGCACCATGCAAAAACAGGCACGTACTGCCTGGAGCGCCCTCGGAGGCTCCCAAAACCGCACGCTGCATCCACATCGGAGTGCGTTCGTTTTTTCTGCTCCTGCACGCACGGGCACGCCCAGGCTCGGTGGAGATGGGTGTCCCTGGCCGCGCCACACAGCGCGCAGAAGTTGGAAGTGGGGCAGCCTACGTCCGCAACGTCGCCAGCAGTCCAACGAGCATTTGTCGAGAGCGTTCTGGCGATACCCTTCTTGGCCCCAGGACCACTCCTTGGAGGCTAAGAACTTCATGGAGGTGTCCCAACAAACGAAAACCCGCGTTGAACGCATCACTAGAATCACGCCCGATGCCCCCGGACTCAGACCACTTACAAGCAAATGTTTCAACCAGTCGGGCGAACACAACGTGAAATGGACCTCGCGTCCAAAATCGCCTACCATGGCAACGAAATTGGGCATCGTCTACCACAACGCGCACACAGACATGCGCATGGCAGGGATCGGCCCCGAGACCTTGGCCCAGGACAGGTCCTGTCAAAAACAGACCGCCAACCAGAACGCAACTCAGCCCAGGACAGAGATCATTAAAAAGTTCTCGTCTGTAGCTGTGGATGCCATGACAATGGACACTCTAACAATCTCTGCATTGAATTAAAGATGTGTGTGGAATTGTAAAACATGTTCGAAAAAAGTTTCAAACATGGTTGTTGGCATAGTTAAAGCATGTTTGAAACATGCTTTAGACATCTGGAAATTACTTGGCAGCATGCTTTCTCTCCAGAAATCGACTTCCACAAATCCAAACGGCCTTGGCCCACCGAGCGATGGGAGCACGGAGAACCTTCCAAACAGGACCGCCTTCCAGCAGGCAAGGACCTGCGTCTTGAGGTCGAGAAGCTCACGGCCCGAAACCCCACAGAAGACGGCGCGGCATACCCGCACCAGCAGGAGGACCCGCCGCGTCAATCTCAGCACACCTCCTACCAAACTCAAAACTTCGCTTGGCCAGCCTACCAGCTTTCTTGAAAGCCGCCGCAATTCTCTTCATGAGCTCGGCAGAACACCCTTGCAAAGAGCCCGCGCTGCCATGCCAGCGAAGCCGGCGACGCCTACGTTGGCCACTCTGGCCCAAGCCGCCTCACCCACTAAGGGCCCGGCTGATCAAAAAACAAACTGTTGGACGCGCCTTTGCAGCTCGAGACCATACCCACCTTACCCGAGGCCACTATTCACCTGAGCGTAGAAGCGATCGCACAGTGGGACGGCATGGCTCCTGTGACCAAAGCCTTTTCAATGTTACGCGGAGCCCCCGTCGCGCTCTGACTCAGGCCGTTGACATACACATCAAAGTCTGCGCTCGCACCCAGAAGTTTGAGGATGGAATCGAAAACCTCCTTGGCGAATACACGGATCGGGCGAAACGCGAAAGAACACCCCGCGGCGCTGCCTCTGCTCACAAAGAATGACCCTCGACAATGCCCCCAAGTGCCAAAAACCTGGCACACAAATACGAGTGACTGGCAAGCCTCGCCAAATATTGGGGAAAGTGAGCCAACTGACCTCTGGACCACAGAACAAAAAACTCTACGTGCTCATAATTCTCGGGCGAGGACCCCCCCGAAAGCAACAACAAAAAAAAACCTGCTGACCCTGCCAGGTCCCAGATTCCGCTCCGAGAGCCCGTCTCCCTCCAGACGACAACAGTCTCCGCTCCTCTGCCGGCACCGGCCGCCCAGGACTGGCGAGCACGCTTGAGTTAGGTCGGGCATGTCCCCCATACAGGCAGATTTTGGACGAAAATAAAAGATTGCCAAAAAAGACTAAAAAAATGTCACTAATAAGCAAAAAATCGTCCCCTGACTATCTTTTTACCATTTTGGGGCATTCCTCCTGTAGAGGGACACGCCCGATTTAACGCTTGAGCTCCCAGCTGAGAGCTCCTGGCCGCCAACGCCTTCCCCAGGCGCGACACCTGCTGGGGAAGACTTCGGAGGGTCTGAGTCATATCGATGGCTCAGCCAGACACGCCAGCAACCCACGAGAGCTGCGGAGGCAGGCACCAGTGGCCTCCGCGACAGCAAGCCAGAGACACAATTCTCATGGGATCGTCTGGCAGAGGGCCAAAATAACAACAGCGAAAGAAAGCCATCCAGACTGACAGCACTGGAAGGGTAATACTTCCCTGCACCGAAGTTGATCCAAGGCTGGTAGGAGAAGGTAGGAGCAGTGACCATCCGAAGACGTCGCAGTGAAAGTGAGGGTACCGTACACGGAACGTAACTGGAAGACTACTTGGCAGGTTGCCAGGGAAGCTCTTGGGGCCGTAAAATCCCCCCACCACATGCACAAATCCTGGAGCACTGCCTCCAGGCTTGAGCCAAAATGGCTACGAGGTCCCTCCCTCCCTCCCTCCGGCACAAAGGGTCACTCGGGCGAGGGGTCACTCTTACGCTGAGATAGGGTCTAAAGCTTAAGATTGCTCTGGATGGCCCCTGGAGACGGAAGCATCGGCCCCAGTCCGGGTCCACCCCCTAGCCCACATTGGGCTGAACCCCACTCTGCGCACCCCCGATGGGCCGGCGCTGGCCAGGCCCAACGCCGACCCAAGACATGCGCGCGGACCTCCGAAAGCCAATGCTGGTGCTGCCTTGCTGCTCTTCCGCGCTCGGGAGCTGCAGCGCCGCCTGGATCTCATCGTCCTCCTCGCGCTCCTCGGGGGTGGCGCGCAGACCGCCCCCCGGAGGTCGTCCAGGGCTGGCCTCAGCGGGATGGACGGTCTCCCCCGGGGCCGTAGGCGACCCGAGGAGGGGAGGGCGAGGAGGAGGAGGAGGAGGACGGGTCGCCTGAGCCCTTCGGAGAAACCCTCCACAGCGGGATGGCAGCCCGGGGCCGTCTCGGTCCACACCGAGATCCGGGCGGCGCCTTTCTTTCGCACCGGGCGTATTCGCTTGGACTCGGGACCCGGGACCCTCGCGGACCGCTCTGGCCCGGGAAGCGGCGCAGAAGGGTAGGGTCCAGGGCTCCAGTCGCCAGTTCTCAGGATGGAGGAGGAGGAGGAGGAGGAAGAGGAGGAGGAGGAGGAGGAGGCGGAAGAGGAAGAGGAGGAGGGGGCGGTCTGTGCGCAACCCTTCCAGCACTGCCAGCGCTCGGTGCCGACGGGGCCCACGGCCCTCGCCGAGAAGGCAAATGGCCTCCGACGCGGCAGGAATGCACGAACGACCACCGCAGCGGGCAACAAGCGTCCGGGCCCAGCTCACGCCAGGTGGGCGGGGCCCTGGCCTCCGGCTTCTGGCGTGTCGGGACACATGCAGAGCGAGACAGGAGGAGGAGGAGGAGGAGGAGGAGGAGGAGGAGGAGGAGGAGAAGAAGAGGAGGAGGAGGAGGAGAGGAGGAGTGAGGGGGAGGAGGAGGAGGAGGAGGAGGAGGAGGAGGAGGAGGAGAGGAGGAGGAGGAGAGGAGGAGGAGGAGGAGGCGGAGGGAGGAGGAGGAGGAGGAGGGGGAGGAGAAGGAGGAGGAGGGGAGGAGGGAGGAGGCGGAGGAGGAGGAGGAGGAGGCGGAGGAGGAGGAAGAGGAGCAGGAGGAGGAGGAGGAGGGGGAGGACGAGGGGGAGGGGAGGGGAGGCGGAGGAGGAGGAGGAGGAGGAGGAGGAGGAGGAGGAGGAGGAGGAGGAGGAGGGGAGGGGAGGAGGAGGAGGAGGAGGAGGAGGAGAGGGGAGGAGGAGGAGGAAGGAGGAGGAGGAGGAGGAGGAGGAGGAGGAGGAGCGGAGGAGGAGGAGGAGGAGGAGGGAGGAGGAGGAGGAGGAAGAGGAGGAGGAGGAGGAGGAAGAGGAGGAGGAGGAGGAGGAGGACAAGGAGGAGGACGAGCAAGAGGACGAGGACGAGGAGACGGACGAATACCTTGGCCGCGGTGCAGGCGCGCGCCGCCTCGAGTTCTCGCCTCCGCCTGCCTAGAAGGCCCGCCCCGCTCGGCCGACCCTCGCTCCCCTGGCCGCGCAACCCCCCCGTCCCCGGGCCCCCGCCCGAGGGGCTCCCCTCGAGCCACGTGGAGCCGTGGCGGCAGGAGCCCCACCCGAGGCGCACAGAGGCCCCCAAGGACGACGACGACGACGACGACGACGACGACGACGACGACGACGACGACGGCGACGACGACGACGACGACGACGATCCAGACCTCAAACGCATTGTTTGTGTCATCACGGGATCCCCAGCCCTCTGGACCCAAGACCGTCTCTCGCCCAGGACCACTACCTCGACGGCCCCAGGGCCCGCAAGCGGCCCCCGGAGACTGAAAAGAAGGACAACAAGGAGGAGGAGGAGGAGGAGGAGGAGGAGGCGGAGGAGGAGGAGGAAGGAGGAGGGAGCAGGAGGAGGAGGAGGAGGAGGAAGGAGGAAGGAGGAGGGAGCAGGAGGAGGAGGAGGACAAGGAGGAAGAGGGAAGGAGGAGGAGGAGGAGGGCGAGGAGGAGGAAGAAGAGGAGGAGGGAGGAGGAGGGAGGAGGAGGGAGGAGGACGACGATGAGGAATGAGGAGGAGGGAGGCGGAGGGAGGATGAGGAGAAGAGGGAGGAAGAGGACAACAACCCCTCCGCCCCGACTTTGTCTCAAGACACGAGAGGACTGGGGATGACGAGGCCGCTCCTCGGAGTCGACGGGCTGCGCGGTCTTCCTCAGCAGCTCCCGCGCATAAGGGAACAGCCAGGCCGACTTGTCCGTGCACATCACGAACAGCATCGTGCTCGGCGCGCGCCCCTCGCCTCGGCACAAGCGGCATCGAGCGTTCGATCGATCGGTCACTCGATCCGGAAAATCAACAGATTCCCCGAACCATTATCGAACTCAGGGTTTCTTGCTCCTCTGCCTACGGGAACTGAGCTCGTTGATCGGATCCTCCATCTTGTTGCCGCCATCGCCGTCCCTTCTCCGCCTCGTCGCGGCCCGTCGTCAAAAGCTGGTCTGTCGGATCCGACGCCTTGTTGCCACCATCGCCGCCCCGTCGCCGCCTCGTCGCGGCCTGTCGGGCTCGTTTGTCGGATCCGCCGCCTTGTTGCCGCCGTCGCCGCCCCGTCGCCGCCCCGTCGCCGCCCGTCATCTGCGCTCCTCGTCGGGTCCGACATTTGTTTGCCGCCGTCGCCACCCCGTCGCCGCCACAAGGCTTACACCAAATTGCGTGAGCCATGTAGACTGAACCACATGCATTACACAACGTATATTGCATAACATAAATATTGCACAACACAGATTCCCCGTTCTCAAAGAAAATATCAGGGTCTACCGCCTCCCCCCTCCCCCGATGTACCCCCCCTTTTCGTATTGCAATTAGCAAAAGAGTTTGCCCCATCGTCGATCCTGAAGATGAATTCGTACCATTCCAGTCAGGCCAGTGTCGCTTCCCCCCTCCTCCTCTGCAAAAAACTGCGCGTGCACACTCTCATATGAAGTACACACACGCGCGCGTCGTCGCGCACGCATGCCGAAATCTTTCGAAAACCTATGGTGTCGTAAGGATTTCAAAATCGAGTGTCCGAAGACATCTAGAAGCACATGGTATCGCAAAGATGCTTTTTCAAAAGGAAAAAAATGAGCTCGCGCTCGTGCGACATCGTTTCTTTTGTTATACGTAACTCTAGTCTTGAGCCTCCCGATCTCCTGTAGAACCGTCTGTGCAGCAGCTGGGAGGAAGTGAGTGCGCATGCAAAGAGAGCAAAGCAGGAGGAAGGATGATAATTAAGGCGATGCCGTGGGGTGATGTAAACAGGGGGGAAGGACATGGTAGCGAAACATACGATTCGACAGTTTCTGTCTATTTGCCCCAAGCTTTCTGAAAACTGATGAAACTACTGGGCTCCCCTTCCTTCCTTCCTTCATCAGTCCGCTGACTCGTTGGATGCACGAACAGCACATGAGGCGATGCGTGTAACGTGCGCCCATGTAGAGCCGCTCCGACCATGGACGGCCTTTTTGTGCTTGGCGCCTTTCCGCCCGCAGATGTAGCACCTCGCCTTGCCTGCTGGGCACGATGGAACCAGACAGGATGAGCGCCCGTGCAGTCCCTCGCAGCGCCTGCACTGGTAACCGTCTGCAGAGCTCGCGCTTGACGACTGGTCCACGCTGCACCATTGATCGAACGTTAGAGATCCGATCGGCCTCGGCCGTGGCTTTCTTTGAGCGGTTGCCTGTTCCGTCGTAGCACAAACACAACCAAGAGGACCCATAAAGATCGCCCCAAGAGCATTTGCCACGCAGGGCCGCCCAAGCCTCAGCCCAGCTGTTCCTGCACAATGGTGATGATGATGGTGATAAAGATGAAGATGATGATGAAGATGATGATGATGATGATGATGATGATGCTGATGATGATGATGAAGATGATAATGATGATGATGGTGATGATGATGATAGTGATGATGATGATGATAATCATGATGATGATGATGATGATGATGATGATGATGATGATGGTGATGATGATGACGATGATGATGATGATGGTGATGATGATGATGATAACGGCGACGACAACGCTGAGGATGATTATGATGATGATGACGATGATGATGACGATGATGATGATGATGATGATGATGGTGATGATGATGACGATGATGATGATGGTGATGATGATGATAACGGCGACGACAACGCTGAGGATAATTATGATGATGATGATGATGATGATGATGATGATGATGATGATGACGATGAGGTGATGATGACGCTGGACAGGATCGAGATGTTGGCAATGGACGGTCACGACGCTGCTGACGATGAGGATGATGGCGGCGGCCACGGCTGAGGATATGATGGCCTGGCTGCCCTCCCCGCCAGGGCCTACGGCAGGTTCGTGTCGTGCCGACCCCAGCGTTGGTTTTTGACACCGCAGGAATCGTTCAACCTTGAACGATCGGCCGCTGCCGCAACGTCCGATCGTTCAACATCGATCGATTCTGGGTCGCCGGCGGCGTTCAACCTTGAACGCCCGCGCTAGGGTCGCCGCTGGTCGACACGACGCAAACCTACCGTAAAGGACTTGAGAACGCAGCGGCCCAGAGCGCCCGCATGGCCCGCAGGGAGTGCCCCCCGCCGGGCCTGCCGAGAGCGGCCGCGCCCTTGGCGCCCGACGCGCCCGGGCCTGCCGGCTCCCGGAGCGTCCCCCGAGCTGTCCCCGTGCGGAGCTGCCGCCGGACTCGAGCTGGACAGGGCAGAGTCTGTAGGGGAAAAAACACACATGGGGGGGGGGGGAAGACAAAAACAAAAACAAAAACAAAACAAAAAAAAGTAGGGGAAAAACACACACACAAAATACACACACACACACACACTTAAAAACACACACACTTAAAAACACACACACACACACAGTCTGTAGGGATGGTTTTTCCCTACAGACTGTGTGTTGTTTCCGTACAGACTGTGTGTTTTTTCCCTACAGTCCCTGGTCACGGTCGGGCTCGATGGGAGTTCGTGGAGGACGAAAAGCAGAGCTCGCGGAGAGCGAAAAGCAGGCCAACAAGACGAGACGCTTCGAGCTCACAGCAGAACAGCGTTCAGATGCAGCCTTGCAGGACACCCGAGAGGACACAAGACTGTTCCGATCGCAGCGCGGCCCCAAACACCACAGGACATGCAGTATGCACAGGTCGGGGTGGAAAGGACATAAGAGCACGCTCGATTTGGCATGGTCGACCTACCAATGAAGGCCGACTGTATCCTCGTCCTGCCTTCGTTTTAGTGTTGAACTAATATCGTGGATGTCTGGGTTAGGGGGTCAACAATCGACACATTGACCTGTCCAGGCGTGCGTCCTGACCACACTTTCGAAGCGGTTGCCCACGAGAAGAGTTGGTGGTGTCTGGTTCTGTTGCATTCCGATTGTTTTCGGTGTTTCAAAATGGCGCTCCCGCTGCAGCGTGGGCCTCATTTTCGGATCTGCGCTTTGCTCCCGTCATTCAGAATGGCGCTCTCGCCCCAGCACGGGCCGCCACTTTCTGGATCCGAATGTAGCGTCGTTGTGGCCCCCCCCCATCATTCCCTCTCCTCCGCCTTCCCCTGGCCCCCCTAGTCCCCCAGTTCCGTCCACTCCACTTATTGCTGTTGCTGTCCGTCTCGCCCCAACGAGGGTCATTTTTCCACCTCCAAATCGTTTGTCGTCGTTGTCGCACCCCACATTTCCCCTCCTCCACCTTCCCGTGGCCCCCCCTTTTCCCAATCTTTGTGCTTGAACTCCTGCTGCTGATGTTCGTCCTTATTTCTCGTGAAACCTCCTGCTCGCCATCCACCTCTTCGTCATGTGCACACAACTCTCTTATCTCCGATTGCGCATACAACGAAATGGTCTCTTCGTTGGAATCGCAGGTCGGCTATGACACGGGTCAGCGGATAATGAAAGATCAGCGCCGTGGGAGGGGATGGGAGGAAGGGAAAGGATCTCAAATTAAGCGCATTCGCACTTAGCTTGTCCGCTCTTCCCCCCTCCCTCCTCCGAGGAAGGAGCTGGGAAGAGGGAGGAGGAAGAGGTGAGGGATGCTTGTGACGATGACGACGATGGCATGACGATGACAATGATGGCGCTGCTGGTGATGGAATTGACGATGGTACTGGTGATGGCGGCGATGGTGAAGATGGCGTTGGTGATGTTCACGGTGATGGTGAATATGCATGACGGCGGCAATGGTGTTGATGATGATCATGATGGTGACGATGGCGCTGGCGATGATGTTGATGATGGCAGCGATGATGGCACGGTGGTGGTTGTGAAGCGAATGACGACGATGCCGATGGGGATGGTGATGGCGATGGTCGACATGCACCTGGCGATGATGATGGTGATGGTGATACTGACGGCAACGGTGCCAGTGTTGACGATGCTGACGCCCATTATTGTTTCACACGGGACCGATGGCAACAGAAGGGTGCCAACCGACGACGGTAACATAGCACATAACGTTAACTGGTGCTTGCCAACGACAGCCAGCAGAGCAGAGCCCGCGGTTTCGGGCGCAGTCGAAGCCAGAAATCTCAGCCCTTGCTGGATGGACGCCAAGGCAAATAGGCAAGCACGGCAAGAGGAGGGAGGAGAACGATCTGGCACGGTCGGGCTATACGCCAGGCTCCCCACCCGAAACGATCGGGAGCGCTTTCACGAGGGCGGTGGCGGCAGGCTCGGGCGGAGGCACGTCCGAGCTTGTCAGAACCTCGCGTACGGGATGCGTGCGGCCACAAGGAGGAGAAGGAGGAGGAGGAGGAGGAGGAGGAGGAGGAGGAGGGGGGAGGGGGACGGGGAGGGGAGGGGGAGGGGGAGGGGAGGGGGAGGGGAGGGGGGAGGGGGAGGGGGGTGCGCCATGCAGTGACGACTGCCGAACACACAAAAGGCAACGGGGTCGGAGCTCCACCCGCGGCACGCCTGAGATGCTGCCACCGCCGCGACGGGGCGAAATCGACGGCAGCCTCCCGCCGATGTACTTGACCGCGAGGAGAGGAGGAGGAGGAGGAGGAGGAGGAGGAGGGAGGAGGAGGAGGAGGAGGAGGAGGAGGAAGGAAGAGGAGGAGGAGGAGGAGGAGGAGGAGGACGAGGAGAGAGGCACTCACGCGCGGAAGAGAGCGGACACGAAAGGCTGGGCGGTCCAGGACGTGAGGCACGTGCACGACCGTCGGCGGCGGTGGCAGGAGGGGGGGGAGGGGAGGGAGACGAAGCGACAGAGAGGGCGGCCAGCCTAGTCACCTCGGCAGCCAACTCAGCGACTCAGGCTGAGTATGATGATGATGATGATGATGATGCTGATGATGATGATGATGATGATGATGATGATGATGATGATGATGATGATGATGATGATGATGATGATGATGAT